TGTTCATCAGGTTTCAAATACCACTCAATCTTTGGTTGTGCGCCTGCGCAATTTTTATAGTGGAATCAAAATCTTCTGATGATTAAAATGAAAGTGCGATTTAATGCGATTTAAATGATGTTTAACTTATAAAAAAAAAATTTTATCTTATAAAAAAAAACATAATTTTTTAAATATTGCGCGCTCAAAAAAATACTTTTAAATACTGTGCTCAATTAAATTTGCGTAATTCCGCTAAGCAGCCATCATGTTTGGTCTGAATTTCTTCAGTAAAGGAAGCTTATTCTTCTCGTTATATTAGGGTACTCGTATAGATAGTTGTCACACTCATTTCTTAATATGGTTTTAATATTCTTGCATTTTTTTTATGCGTTGTTAATGTTTCGGACGAAAAACGAAATGTCCGACAAAATCCGTAATTGCCCATAAGGTATCCGGGCATCAGCCAATCATATTAAATCGATGCTACAATAAATGAATTGCACTACGACAACTTTTTCTTGATCAATTAAACAAGTTTCAACTTAACTTTGTAATTCTTACCAATACAACTTTATAAAAATGGGTGGAGGAGACTTGGTGAGTTAGATCGTGCTCAGATCTTCTCGTTATTAAGACATTTGTAATAGATTTTAACGGTTTAAAATGTTTATTACAGAACATGAAAAAATCCTGGCATCCGCTCTTGATTAAAAATCAAGAACGGGTGTGGAAGGAAGAGCAGAAGGCCTTGGAAGAACAAAAAAAGTTAACTCAATTAATGAAAGAAAAAGAAGAAGAAAGACAGTTACAGGAATTGAGAAAATTACAAGAGAGTGCTGGCGGAAAGTAAATATCGTTATTGTTTAAAAAGACTACACGAATATATTTTCTTAATATACTTTTTACTAATTTTTCTTTACCGATGAAACAGAAAAGGACCAGAAAGATTAGATTGGATGTACGCAGCAGGTCCTAATCAATCTAGTTCAGCAAAAGCTCAAGAACTGGAAGATTTCTTATTGGGAAAGAAGTCCGTGAATAAACTTATTGATAATAGCTCAGCTTTGAGCAAGGTAAACTTTGCATAATTGAAATTTATAAATTTTAATATCACTTTTAAATTCCTAATTTTGTTTTTCTATTATAATAGCTCTCTGAGTCAAATGATGTTTTTACAAGTACAATGAATCCAAATGCTAATTCATATAGGGATACCCAGGCTAAAATTCGTGAGGATCCCTTATTACTTATAAAGAAAACTGAACAGGCCAATATTAAAGCTATTGTCACTAATCCTATTAAATTGAAAGAACTCAAAGAGGTATACATTGGATTTATCATTGTATAGTGCATATTATAAAGTATATAGTTATTATTAATATAATCGAATTCTATTTTTTTTTTATTAGAAGTCTAAAAAAAGTAAAAAAGATAAAAGCAATAAACATGATTCTGATTCAAAAGGCTCTAGCAAAAAACGCCATAAAAAATCATCCGATAATGATGATTCAGATTCAGATTCACATCATAATCACGATAAATATAGTCCCCCAAGGAAACGTGATAGACGAAACAGCCCTATGCGACGGGATTATTATGAGAGGAATGATCGTCATCGTAATAGGTTTGATGATAATAGAGTTGATGATGATAATGATTCAGATTCACATCATAATCACGATAAATATAGCCCCCCAAGGAAGCGTGATAGACGTAACAGCCCTATGCGACGGGATTATTATGAGAGGAATGATCGTCGTCGTAATAGGTTTGATGATGATAATGATTCAGATTCACATCATAATCACGATAAATATAGCCCCCCAAGGAAGAGTGATAGACGTAACAGCCCTATGCGACGGGATTATTATGAGAGGTATGAGAGGAATGATCGTCGTCGTAATAGATTTGATGATAATAGATTTGATGATAATAGAGTTGATAATAATAGAGTTGATAATAATAGAGTTGATGATGATAATATAAGAAAGCAAAAACTACAACAAATGATGGATGATGCCAAAAAACTTAAAGATGAACGTATGAAACGTGTAGATGATATCAATAGGGAAGAAAGGGAGGAAGAAACTAAAGCTGCTGAGCATAAAAAGCGAACATATGAAAGCGGTGTTTATTCAGAATACCTAAAGTAAGTATCTATTTTGAATTTTCGAATTATCAATAAGTGAAAATCAAATGTTTATATCTGCTTTTCTAATTATTTGCGAGGCTAATTAACCACATTGTCATTTTTTAAAATAGAAATGCTTACAAAGATGCATATTCATCTAATTCATCATTTGACTTGGGCGAACGAGTACGAAGACATCGTAGTACATTACAGAAAGCTGTTGAGTGAACTATTTATTTCAGTAGTTAGTCATTATCAATTTATCATAATAATTTTTGATGTAATGAGAATTAAAATAAATTTATTTACGAAATCAATAAGAAAAAACTTTTTACAAAGGTTATTCACAGTGGTTCCAAAATTTTCGCATGCCTTGACATGTATATGCTTTTAAGTGGCATTTTTTTGTACAGTAAATATTAAATTATATACGGAGGTAATAAATCAGCAGAACGTGAAATTTTATAGGCTGAAGCCTCAATTATCTTAAGAATATGGAGAAATTTTGGTTATACAAAGTATATAGTGTATTATATGAGTATAGGTTGAAGATTTAAATACAAATAAACTATTTTGATTAGAACATTTTTATTTAAGGCTTAAAGTTGATTAGCATAATAAAATTGTTTATCAAACATAAATTTGTATCTTAAAAATTTTTTAATTTTGATATCAAGTATAAAATTTTGATTGATGCTGGATAAGCACGATAAAGTTCGATGGTTTCAAACGGTATCTTAAAAATTATTGTGTAATAAAATATAGATCGAACGGATTTGAATAGTTGATCTGTGGTTTGTATAGTTCAGATCAATTCGTACGTACGGATACGGATTTTGCACGATACGTACTGTACAACATCTTATACTATAATAAATATTACAACAGACAAATATGCTGTATGTATTTACAAATTCTTTCCCTATCTCTATCACTGATCTTTATAATGAATAAATGGTAGATCACTATTTTAAATAAAACAATTGGCGAAAGTGAAGATCTTTAATCATATCTTTTATAGAGACTAAAAAACGTTCTTTTAATAAAGATAAAGCACAAATTCGTTTATATGTAGAATTATAAATGCACAAAGTTTGAGTCACGTCGTAAAAATAGAAATTCAACTGCTGTAACGAATAATTCGTAAAAACATGAAAAAAAGAATCAGATTTTCAACTAACAGAAATCCAAAAATTGATTTATTTTGCAAACCTTTAGCGGTTTTTTTTCCTGCTTATGTATCTAGATTATTCTTTACATCGTCTTACAGGCAAATTTGCCTACAACTTTTTTGACAAATGCACTTTTCTGGGCATATCATATGTAAATTGCAATTTAAAGATATATGTTACAGGCAAACTAAATTTTCCATTCGAAGGCTTTCTGGCAGTGCGTAGACATTGCGCTTTTTGAATCGCTTACTTTTTGGGGCCTTCAGAAACCACATGAAATTTCACGATGCTTAACATTGTTTAAATATCGGAGATAATGTCAGAATTTAATTCGTGATATTTGACCTATGATTGGGTATCTACGTTCCTGCAAATTTGACATAGATTAACGGGTCTTTTATTACTTTTACTGTATTTTTTAAAATGAATTTATTGTTATAATTTGATATTAGACAAAATTGCGATTTTATTTTTGGAAATATTTATTTTATTAAATATTCACTTTTTAATATTTTACATAAATTATATAAACTTAAATAGACCAAAATACATGCGAAAATTTTTTAACTAATCTTTACTAATCAAAAAATAAACTATATAAAAATTCGAACATATATATTAATTATTCAAATTTAATTTTATATTTAAGAATGGTACAAATAAATAAAAAATAAAAAAAATAGAGATACTTCGTTTCAGAGATTAAATCTCTTACTTGTCCCAACCACCGCGTAGAGGTGTATCTCTTCGGTTGGGAAGGCGAACCCCAACCCATCTCTCTCCGACCGGTACTTGTCGTGGTTCTGTTCCCGGTTTTCAAGCGGGTTGTTCCCTTGAATCATTAATACCGAAGTATTTCATCAAGTAGCTTTTGCTCCAGTTATCCTCTTAGAGCTCGAGAAAAACCGTACCGTTGAGTATACTCCAAATAAAAAACGACGACTATTGAATATGTAAGAGTTAAAAAAAAAGAAACGAAATAAAAAATGAAGTATGCAAATAGTACTGTAGTAAGAGAAAAAGGTGATCCTTATAAACTTATGATTTTTTTTTTTTTTGTCAATGTGTTTATTCTGAAAACGCGACTTTAAAACGTGTAATCAAATAAAAACCTGTTTCAAACCAGTCTGTTTGCTGTGGTAATGTAATTAGCACGTTTTTTTTATCGGTTATGTTACTGTAATCAGTAACTGTTAATCAGTAGATTGCTAATAAATTTTTTTTTTATAAGCACGAAAAGAGCATTAAATCTTCTTTATTATCAAGCTGAATGAGATGATTAATGCGAAAGAGAAGTATGTAGCTAAATCTTTTCAATGATCAGAAATTTTGTTAGAGCTATTACCCGGGTCTGGTGACCCGTACGGGTCACGGATCATAGGCAGACTTTCGTCTGATTGGCTGATGTAAATCAATTGCCCGGGTAACTTATTTATACACTTTAAAGTACTTTTTTTAAAATTGTAACGTTTCACTAACAAAGATTCGTTTAAAAATCATCTTTAGCTTCAAACGAACGCTAATATTAACTCTACAAAATAATCTCAAATAATCTCTAAATTTGACAGACTTTACTTAGAAGGCAAAATATGCTTCTCATTTATTAGACAATACAAACTTATTTTTATAAAAACACTATAGACAGTTAATGAACTAAAAGAAAGGTAAACCAAAAAAATGTATTTGTTAATGACTCAATTAAGCTGATCTATATAAACAACTACTAACTGTTTACCTTGGCATAGTAGGTGCAAGTTTGTTATAGTAAAAAAAATTAGATTTATATTTAAGTTAGTTTGGTTCTTGTAATGTTTTTGGGTTTATTGATCATAGATGATAGATTTGAGCTTATTGACAATAAAAACATATTATGTATGTGCTTGGTTTTGGTGAAAAATATTATTTCTTATATTTCGTATATATGTTTTAGTCATATAGCATAAAATTTTGATATTTTTGCTTCTTTCGTATATATCTAGTATTCTCTTGTTTTCTATATAATATTGCAAAATAAAATAATTTAATTCAGTAATTTAATTGGTTAATTATCATGAGTAATCACGAATAGATCTACAAAAATTAACTAATCAAACAAATGTCTTTCTATAAGGTCAAACAGGTCATACTGAAAATCATCAGATTTTTAAAATTTAAGTTGTGTAACTCTTGTATAAAGTTGATATAACAACTCTGAAAACAATAGAATCTCTCCAAACAGAAATAATACATTAAGAAGCATATCATTTGTAGTTAGGGATTTATAAAAATTTAGATTTTATCTGTAGAATTTGGAATTTGCATGAATAAAATCTAAAATTTTTCAGGTCTCTGACAGTAAAGTGGTTTAAGGAATAATTTAAATCGCAATCTCTACTATATTTATCAGTATATAAGTTTTTTTTTATCAGTTTTAAGTGGGCACCTTTGTATAATACTAAAAATTTTCAAAGCACATTCACATAATAGTTAAAGCAAAGTTGTTATTTACAAATTGGAACTGAATTAGATAAGCATAAAGCATTGGCACATTTTAAAAAATATATTTATTAATATGTAAGTCTTTTTTTATCAACTTTAAGTAAGCGCCTTTGATTTTACCTATAGAATTTAGAAGTTTGTATGAATAAAATCTAAAATTTCCAGGTTTCTGATAGTAAGGGATAATTTAAACTTAAATCACAATCTCTATTATATTTATTGGTATGTAAGTCTTTTTTTTTTCAGTTTTAAGTAGACACCTTTGTATGATACTAAAAATTTTTAAAGCACATTTACACAATAGTTAAAGCAAAGTTGTTATTTGCAAATTGGGATTGAATTAGATAAGTATAAAGCAATGATGCATTATCTAATATTAGCTAGGGCTGATAATTTTATAAGAATTTTTAAATTATTGCATCACTTTTACAGAATTGGTGCAGGAGAAGAGTAACAGTTTTAGATTCCTGCACTATAAGTATATATATAGAGATCGAATTGGTAAGCATTTCAAGGTTCCTAACACCCAACTTTTGGTATTAAATATTTCTAGATTGCTTGTAATGCTACAACATCTGTACTATTATTGTTATAAAAAGCTATTATAGACTACAAATTGAATCCTACAAATCTTACAAAAAAAAAACATGACTATTTAAACCTATCATTAACATAAAGCAAATAAAATTACATAATATAAGTACTTTAATAAAAAAAAATTTTGTTTTATTGTGAAAAAGTAATTAACAATCTTATTTTATTTTATAGATTCATTAAAGTTGTGATTTAACTTATCAAGTAAATAAATAATGAACAAGAAATATTCAAATGATATGGAGTTAGAACCTGAGAATGTGTTAGAGCCTGATGAT